GTTAATCTATTCATTTCTGCACAATCTAAAATTTTTACATTACTTCTCCCTCCGATGGTATATTCTCTGCTTTTCAATTTTGTGCATAGACAATCCTTGCAGCTGTTATTACATGTATAATCAAATATATATTTTCTTTACTAATTTTCTCTGGTAAGATACCCAATAGGAACAGCTCTGGTTTTAAGTCCATACGTTGTATCATTTTCTCCAACTATAATTTAATTTTATTCCAATAGTTCTTTGCTTCAGGGCATGCCCACCACATATGATAATATGAACCTGGTAACTGGTGGCATTTCTAACATTTAGCTGATTTGTTTTTAAACATTTTTGCCAATTTCTCAGGGGGCATATGCTATCTATAAAACATTTTATATTGATTCTCCTTATATGCAGTGGACATTGTTAATTTGTAATTCCTTTCCCATAATTGTTGCCATTTGTCTAAGTCAATTGAATGCATGTTGAAAACTAAAATATCAAGGGGTCTCAGTTTTCAATAAATATACTGTGTAGGAAATATTTCATCCATTTATGTGAAGATCATTTAAAAAATCATTTATATTGTTTTACAGCAAGGCTCTAACACAAAGAGGAAGACAAAAGAGAAAAAAGTAACATAGCAAAGAGTACGGGGGCTTATGATTAAGAACATTTAATTGTTTAGTTGTGGTATTTTATAAAATTGTCTAGAAGTCAAATACTCTGATGTTGACTTGTACTCTGACCAGCCAGGATTTTTAATTAGAATTGTTGAACAAATGCTGTGGCTTGGTTTACATATCATGCCAAACCATAATGGTGGGTTTACACATCACACTATGGCAGAAAAGAGCAAACCACATTGTAGCTTATTGTTCTGTGTGAACCAGCCCCCTGCTTTGTAAGCTTCAGTATGGAGCTTGCTAAACAGTTCTAGGTATTTTTTTTCCCACCTATATAATTTATTTTACTGAGAATGTATAAAATAGAGGATGTAGAAGCTAGATGTCTCTGGGCTGCAAAAGCAAAACATCATTGTACAATCTTCAGTCCCAGGAAATAAAAATACAGAAACTTCATTGCCCATATTTTCAAGTCTTCCTTCACACTAAAAGAAATGTGATGTTCTCAGAATGTTTGCCTCCACAGCAGATAGTAGATTCAGTGTATACAGTGGTGTTGGAATGCTTGTAAATCCTTATGAATGTTCAATATTTCTGCATAAATATGATCTAAAACATGATCTCCCTACAAGTCCTAAAATTAGATGAAGAGACCGCAATTACACAAATGTGTAAAAACATTATATTTGATCGTTTATCTATTGAGAAAAATTATCCAAAGCTGCACTGCTTTAAGGTAATTAAAAAATATTGAACATTCAGAAAGGTTCACAAAATTTTCAGCTGCACTTTAAGTGGAATTTTTTTTTTAGCTTTTTAGAACTTTAACACACTAGTTAGAAAAATAAGGAAGTGAATTTCCTTCCTTAAAATATCTTTGCTGATTTCTTCTTAACTGGAAGTTTATTTCACCTCTTGGGTAGGGTCGATTATTAAATCCAAGAAGCCTTGGCTTGCTGAAAAGTATTATTAGTAAGCCCTATATAAGGACAGTGGGGGTGTGGCTCTTACACACAAAAAGTGTGACTTGTGAAGCTATCCACTGTCCTCTGCAGCTAGCTGATCAACAAGACCCATGGCCAGCAATGAACACATCACTATTCAAGCTCTTTGGAGCAGAAAAAGGCTTTTTGAACCTAAGCTGATTTCCAGTGTAATAAATACAAGCCAAATCTAAGCTACACTCCCTTGCTGAAAGAAGTATTCAAATGTAACCCCAATAATATTAATAAATCCCTGAAAGATGGGAAGATTGTCAAATCACATTCAAATAACTATTAATCTATGTAGTTGCTGATGGCAGATATACACAAGAATTCCCTTAGAATAGCAGGTTATTTACTTATTTGTTGCTGACATTCTACTACACAATGAACTCTGCATTTTAAAGGCCACATTATCTAAGATGGGATGAGGGAGAGATTCTCACAGATTGTTGCATTAAAAAAAGAAAGAAAGAAAGAAACATTAACCCCCCTTCTCTCTTTCTTTGCATCTTACTTGCTCCCTCATTTTTATTAGGAAAGCGACTCACTTTCTTTTGTTGGGGCAACTTTTGTTCCTTGGTCTGGGACCCAGCCTTAAATTAAGTGTCAGCCTTATTACCAAACATATCTGCTCAGTGCTGTCGCTGCTCTGCCAACAGTTTACCAAGCAGCATTTTATCCCCTTCGGGAAGGCTGAGCAGCATGAAAAATATCCAGCCTGTTGTGTCAAAGTGGTTTTCCTCCATCCGCAGGCTTGAATTCCTTTGGTCTCTCTGAACCGCCTTGCTCTTGAGGACTCAAAGCTGCCAAGCCATGATGTCAAGCAGCCTTTTCTTTCCCTTCCCCCCTCAGTGCCCACATTCAGCTGTGTGGCTGTTTCTCTCTCCCCACCCCCAGCCTTCTGCAGCTGAAAAATCCCAGTTGATTCAAAAGGTTCAGGCCGTTCTGAGTGGCCCACATTAGCTGGGCATGTTTCCTTTCTACCAGATGAATGAAAGGGGCTCACAATACAGCTGCCTCCCACGGACACACTCTACACCAAAATGCAAGGCCCTGCCCAAACTGTAAGAGCCTGGGCAGCATAAATAGGATCACAATACAAGACTGTAATTATGCCAGAGATTTTCCAAATTCAGCTTGTCAATTGTACAACTTCTCAACTTCACTTTTAGGCTTCGTCGTCCCAACTATCATAGTTTAGGCTGGAAAGCAGCATCTACTCAAAGCTCTGGGGCAGAGAGTTATCCAAGAAGGTCTGAATGGACAATGGATGTCTTGCTTGCTGTTTCCTGGTTCACAGTCACCACATGCAAATCACTTTACCTCACCAACACTCTTTCTGCCAGGCCTCTGCTCCTTCTCCCCTTTCACCCTTGTATTAATTTGCAGTTAATATAGAAAACAATATGCTTTTAACTAGAGGTAGCAATGTATTCAGGCTTGAAGAATTTTCTCCAAGACAGTCCACAATGGAGAGTCAGTGAAAGCAGATATATAGACTAAAACCATGTAAGGTTTGCCACTTTAAAAGCCTGACTGACAGGATTTCTGATTTCACAGAACTATAGATTTTAAGATTGGGAAAGGACATTGAGGACCATCTAGTCCAGTGTTGAAGGCGTGAAGAACCATTTAATGTAACACTGTTCCAATAAATCCAGCTTTCTCAATGTTTCATTGCATTGTGTTCAGTGTTTGTTTGTGCTCATTTTGGTGTGTGAGTTGTTAAGGGAGGCATGTATATTAAGAATATACTAAAGGGAAGTGTGATGGCAAAAAGTTTAGAAACCCTGATCTAACCCACCCTTCTGCCTAGTACAGCATTTAAAGGCAATTTCAAGCATAGGCAGGTATTCATTATTTCAGTCAGCACATTTTTTGTGATGGTGTGGTTGATATGACGGGAATGAAATATACTCATAGCCAAGTGGTCATTTTCTTGCCTATAATACATGCTACGACTGATAATCTATTCTTCTAAGAAATTCACACTGGATGCTTAGTATCTAGTTATTAAGCATGATGACAATAAGACATTTGGTGAATGGACAGTGAAATACTTTTTTTTTTGTATTGATGCAATAATTTTGAAAGTCTACAATGTTTTTCTTTCACCAGATATGAAGTGTGTCTGTGGTACTGGCAGCTTTCAACTTACAATCATTCATTTAGGGGTTGTTTAGTGAAGCTACAATGGCACTGAAATATTAGATTCTTACATCAAATTACTCCCCGATTTTAAATGCTTTTTTGGTGTTTCTCCATAATCTGCACTGAATGGCTTAAATTGGTTTTTTCCCCCAGAGAACAAAGTTTTATATGAATGATTTAATATTTCCCGGTGTGTATGTAGATTTCTGTGTATACTGGCAGAACATCCTTTGTCCTCTCAATTACTAAGCCTGGTGAATGAACCCTACTGTTTGCTGGTATGCACACCTGTGCAAAGGGGAGGGAAGGCAAACTCCTGTTTTTGATGTAAGAGGCCCATTTGCTGATCTGAATAACCTCAACAATCCATTCACACCTTTGTCTTTCTTCTTTCAGGGTCTGAGGTCCCTTTTTTCCATGCCTTTGTTTTTACTTGACAAGTCACACATGTTCTGAATAGCTGCTCCAAGCCATTCAACATTTATATATGTGTGTCTGTGCTTGTGTGTTTGAAGGGGGAAAGAAGAGGAAAGAAGGCTGATAAGCTGGGACAAATTGAACAAAACAGACTTCTGATCTTTTTGGTCCTAAAAGCTTTACAGTTTCTTGGACACAGGTCATGATCCAGACAAGCGGCACTTCCAGAATTAAACTGCCCAGACCTCTTTTTTCTCCAGCAATGCTTTTCACAGCTTGTTCTCTTGTGTTGCTAAATTCTGTATCTTCCAAACACTGATTTGTTTGTTTATTTTTTTGACTTTATTTATTTATTTATTTGAACCATCTCACTTAGACGTGACCAATTGAAAAAAAGAGGAAAACTGAAGGAGTGGTCTAGAGAGGATTGCACAAGTTTGCATATCACATACTTCACGTAGAAGAGAAAAACCAGTCTTTCCAATTATCCTATAACTCAGTAAATGAAATGAGACAGTAAACAACTTTCTTCTCCCAAGAAAAAGGCTTGGGGAAAAGTAAAGGAGGACCTTAAGGTTCCATTTTTCTTCCACTTCCGTGTTCCCAAATTGAGCTTGTAAATAGTCAATTGTGCATAAAAATAAGGCAGGTAGAATGGATGAGAACATTGTTGTAAATAAAGAAATGGGAATGTTGAGATTGATGCCCAGATAATCAACCATTCGGAATGGAAGGGTAGCTGCAGGAAGAAAAACATTTGTAGATCTCACAGATGATAAAAGATAGGAGTAATCCTGCAGTTTCTTTCTGTTGGGCATTGGTCTTATGATATACATACCTTTGCATGCTTTCCTGTGTGTGATGGGTTTGGTCATATCCCGATAGTAGCCTTCTTTACAATAGTGGCAGTGACGACCAGCTGTGTTGTGTCGGCAATTAAGGCAAACACCCCCACTCTTGCGACCAGATAATTTGTAGAGTTCCATGTTAAAACGACACCTTCTGGCATGCAGGTTGCAGTTACAAGCTGGAAGGAAGGAGGAAAAATAGAGGGGTAAAGTCTGGTGGTTCTCAGATACTGATAAATTTGGCATGAAATGGTACATTGTCTAGATATATTATCAGCAAATATGTATAAAATAGTAACAAGCCCCCAATTACTGGTCATCCATATTCTATAACATTGTATGTCAGCTTCGGCCCTGGAAGATACTTTAATAAAACTTTAATCAAAATGTTAGTCTTTTCTTGCTTTCTCTAAAAACTATCAAGAAAATAACACAAAAAAGTTTCCTTAAAGTGGTGCCCTTTGCAAATATGTTGGAGATTGCACAAATCCATGTCACGAATCCCTGACTCATCATTACCCGGCTTTATTAATCTGCTTTGGAACAGTGAAACTTTCAAATCCATTCTATTTTCCTAGGTTTAGTTCATGCTGCCAATGGGAAATAAAGGCATGACATTTACTTATTGTATTTGATAACTGATATTATTAATTCTTTGTTCTGAAATTGTAACACAATTTTTTAATGAATTCCTACCAATATAATGTGCATTCTCTCACTCAACTGTATCCAAAACTTCTGTTTCTGAAATTCTGTTTAGGGTGTTCACTTGCAAATTCTATACAGAACCTGAATCCATTACTATAAACCCCAGTATAACACATAAAACCATAATTTTGTTTTAAGTTTATATTTTAAGCAAATACATCGTAACAAGTTTACTTACATAAAGGATCAGGGAGATTTGAAAAAAAAAAAAACAGAGGGATATTCAGCACATTCATTTAAGAGCAGTTACTCCTGAAGTCTTCATTGTAAGCACTTCGTCAATTGCTAGCTATCTACTGAAACTTCTTCAGAAATCTACACTTTCAGGGGCTCAGAAGATTTTTGTCCTTCATGCTAAAATGAGGTCATATCCTTCCTTGCACCAAAAGGACAGTCTGATGTTCCTTTCCCTGAGAATGATCAGATACTGAAATCTGGTTTTGACTATTGTTCCAGGAGGCTCACGTCATGTCGCTAATTATATTCTATGGATTCTAAGACTTCTGTATCATGGGAAGTAGCCAGGGATGGGATTCAGCCAGTTCGGACCAGTTTGGGCGAACTGGTAGCTCCGACGATCAGCTGAGAGCTAACCGGTTTCCTCCGATGATCAGCTGGGTCCGCCTGCCTGCCCCTGCGCTATACCTACCTATATTTCCTTTGTTTAAAGCCCAACTGGTAGGCGCGGCAGAGGGAATTGCTGTGCCTCAGCTGTTTTACTCAATGGGGCTGCAGTAGAAGATAAGTTTTAGAGCTGTTTTCAAATGCACTGTGTGTGTGCGCGGAGCACTCAACGAACTGGTTGTTACACCGGTTGAATCCCATCACTGGAAATAGCTACCCATTTCTCATTCAGTCAGTTCTAGGCAGTTCAAGGATGCAGGGTCCTGTGGTCTGTAGTTCATTCCTTCTCAGATGAAAACAATACTCTAGCACAAACCCTGTTCTGGTCCAGTCCCTATTTCCCTGCTTGTCTGGCTGTGAATTCCTTTCCCATGGGATTCTCCGCAGAGATTAATTAGTTTATTATTAGAACTGCATCCAGTTCAAGCATGCCTCTCACTCAATGGTTATTTGTTGCTCTCCTTGTGTTAATGTTAACATTCCTTCCAGTTTCTCCCTGCTTTCATTTGTTCTAAAGCTGTTGACTTCAACCACAGTATGTCACAAACACATCCCTGTTTATTACAACTGTGTTTCCAACACAGCCAATTATCCAACTTGCAGAAAATATCAAACTATGTGCATGTCCCTGGTCCCCTCCTCCCTTCACTCCCCCATTTCTAATCCTGGTCTAGTTTGGAGGGCAGCAACAGTTTTATCACCAAAGTAACCATTAAGGAGCTATTTTACTGTGCCAAATCACTGGGGTTTTGTTGTGTCTGGGGTTCTGCCACCATTGTCCTATCACACATTACCACACATCTTAACTATTTTTGATCCAGAGCAGACACATACTGCTATTTATGTTCCACTTTTCTTCATGCACCTTTGTTTACAGAAACAAAGCTCTTCAAAGAAATATTGGATATTTTGCCTATATTTTGCATACATACAAAATATATTCTTTGAAACTGCAAACTCTAATTTCATCCAGAGGGGGATGGATTGGAAACCCATCTTTTTATCTTTCTGGAAAGCCCAGTTTCTAAATATCCTGTCCTTGGACTGAGCTGGCACTTAGCCAGCATTCACTTGCAATACAGTAACTGTTTTTAGCCTCTTAAGCTTAATGCTACCCAATAGGAGAAATGGCCTTAATGAGAAATACTTTCAACCTTTCCCCATTCATCTACATCCAGAAATAAAGGAGTGATGCTAATACACTTAATAAGAAAAAGGAGTAAAGATTAAAGGCTGATGGATGGTCAGGAGGAGTATGAAATGTCTGCTATTCATATCAGTGGAGAAAATGGAATGTGAAGTTGACCTTGTTCTTTAGCAGTTAAATCCTCTGGTATGATAAATAGTTTTTCTTCTGAACTTGGGCAGAGTATATATCAATAAATAGCTCACATAAAGGAAGACGAGCTGGAGTTGTAAGTCCTGACACCAGCTTATTCCTCAATCATAATGACGTGGGAAGAACTAATGTGGTAAAATATTATGCATGGAAAAGGTGTAACCCTTGATACTTAGTATTTGAAGATCGGTGTGGAACGATTTATCTAAAACATCTGAGAGCTGCTAACATTCACGGCAATGAAACTGCAATAAATGTCATTGTCATCTGTATTACATGGTTGGCAGGAATCACACAAGGAGTCAAAAATGACTTAATGGGATGTCATCAATCAATCAAATGTCAACTTTTCTGCACTGTTGCAGCATTACTGCTCCTCTATCAACATTTTTGCTGTCCTCCCTATCCCAGCATCATTGGCAGAACTAAGTGGGCATAGCGTGATTCAGAAGAAGGCAGCTTCCTATAATTTCTTTTTACATGTTTGGCTGGCTTCCTGAACAAAGGAAAATTCTTCCATTGCTACCTCGCAGCAGCACCCTAACTCTGCTGCCTATGGGTCCTTGTCACCATCTCATTCAGACCTTTTAATCTATCCTATTTAGCATAAATGAACGGGGGAGGGAGAGGTGTCCTTGATGCTCTCTTGGTTGTTTTCTTGGATATTTTATCAACCCCATGTATAGTATGGTTATAACTAAGCCACAGAATAGCAATTAAGATGTACTGAATAGTCAATGCTTGCAACTATCTGATTTTCGGAGATTAAAAAGCGATGGGGACTATCCATCATATTTAGCTAGTTAGTCCCTGAAGATTTTCATGGCATGTTTTTTTCAGAAGAGGTTTGTCCTTGTCTCCTTCCTAGTGCTGAGAGACACTGAGGCAGTGGTGAAATTCAAATTTTTTTTATTACTGGTTCTGTCGGTGTGGCTTGGTGGGCATGGCTTGGTGGGCTTGGCAGGGGAAGGATACTGCAAAATCTCCATTCCCACCCCACTCTGGGACCAGCCAGAGGTGGTATTTGCCAGTTCTCTGAACTACTCAAAATTTCCACTACTGGTTCTCCAGAACCTGTCAGAACCTGCTGGATTTCACCCCTGCACTGGGGTAAGGTCACCTAATTGCTTTGTTGCACAAGGTGGGACTGTAACTTTTCTGGTTTCCATTGTGGTGCCTTAATCTCTACACCAAACTGGCTCTGTCTATGATTATATCATTAGCACAAACTCTTTAAAATGTCTCTGCAGTAAGGGAGAAATGCTACCGGTGTGCACTGGTTCGAGTGAACCAGTAGCGGTGGTGACGGGTGGTTCGGAGAATTGGTAGTGGCGGCAGCATGAGGTTCCACCCATCCGACAGGATGTCATTACTTCCTGGTTTTAACCAGGAAATAACCTGTTTTTTATCCTCTGCGCATGCGCAGTAGGCATTGTGCATGTGCAAAGGATCCAAAATCGCATGTGACACGCTTGCATGCACTTCCGAACCGGTAGGGAAGGTAAGTAGATTTCACCCCTGTCCGTAGTGTATATTTTCTTGCAATGTATTCCTAATGTAATTGTCTCGTTTATCTCTGCTACAAGTGTAAGGATGCATAGTCAATACATCTGCAAGTTAAAAGCCTTCACACTGAACTTACTATAAACAATGATCTTATTTTGGGCTATAAAAACGTATCAAGAAATGATGTGAATTAATTGAGAAGACTTATAAAATCCCAGATTGATATTCCTGGGATAGTTTCTTATTAGCTGTACAATGTATATTTTACAAATGAGAATATACAAAGCTTTAATTTTTTTCCCCGGAACTTGATTTGTCCTTTCAGAAATCACCATATTGCCTGACATAAACATGATCTTAATTTTAAGAAGATCCATACCAATGGGAAGAGAAGACAAAGAAAAAGAATCCTGTCCAATACCTAGTTTTTATAGTTTGAATCTTTATAATTTATTAAACTAAGTTTGCTACCTCCAGCTGAAATCAATCTTGCTGACTTTTTCCTCCAATATGTGAACATGATAAATGTACATATGCTTATGCATATATTTACTGCAACATGTAAACATGAATAAATAAATAGCGCTATGTAGGAGTGTATATATACCTGCCAGAAACCAGATTCCCAAAAAAGGCACAGCAAAAATAATAATGAGTATATTAATGGAACAATAACCAAAATTAATTGCTGGTAAATAGATTTATACCTTTATTTACATCTTTAATAGCTCTTATCTCCATATATCAACTCATAGCAAAGGAGTGGATTCAGTGGTGGGTTGCCCCCAGTTTGCACCGGTTCTATAGAATCACTAGTAAAACCGGCGGGAGGCTCCGCCCACCGACCCCGACATCATCAAAACCCTTCTGCGCATGCGCAAAAGAGCACGAGTGTGCGTGAGTGAAGCGAGTGCGCGTGTGGCCCACTGCAAACCGGTAGTAAAGGTAAATAGAACCCACCCGAGTGGATTGATACAAATCTCTGAAAATTCTCATACTTAA